TCACAGCCGACGGCATTGCCAGCGCGGTCACCTCCCGCTCCCCGAACTGCCACATCTGACCCTGACTCCCTTCCCAGGGGAGCTGCTGCCAAGGGGCTGGTCCAGAAGCCTGGGGTGTCAGCCCCCTGGTGTCCCTGAACCACAGAGGGAAGGGGCCACGGCAGGTGCTGCAGGCTGCACGATGGCAGAGCAGAAAAGGGCCCACAGACCTGATGGCGAGTCTGTGTGACCTTAAGCAGATTACATCGCCTCTCTGAGCCTCCGTTTCCTCTTCTGTAGAATAGGGATGACAGCGGGGCACCTGGGGGGCTCAGGGAGTGAGCGCTTGCCTTCGGGCGCAGGCCGTGATCCTGGAGACCTGGATTGAGTCCCACATGGGACCCCCTGCAGGGAGCCTGCTTCTCCCTCTGCCTGTGTCTCTGCCTTTCTCTCTGTCTCTCATGAATAAATAAATAAAATCTTAAAAAAAATAGAGTAAGGATGATACCACCCAGTGGCATATGTGGCTTATATGACACCCAGAGTGGCTCATTTTTGACACCCTTTACTTACTTTCTTTTCTTTTTTTTTTTTTTTCGGGGGGGGTGACAACTTTATTCAGAAACAATTCACATATTCAATGCTTCATCCCCTGAAGGTAAAATTAGATGGTGTTGGGCATACGACATGACATTTAAATATTTGTCATAAGAATATATATCACACACAGAAAAGAATATATATCACATAACATGCACCATTTTGACCATGTTTAAGCACGCAGATCAGTGGCGGTGATTACAGTAGCGACAAAATGATCTGCGAGAGTCAGCAGCGATCACAGACGCTTGATTGGTCCTTTCATCATTAGAAATTTATTTTAAAAATTAAAATTTTAATTGAAGTACAGTTGACACATACTATGAGTCTCGGATGCAAACCATAGAGATTTGACATTTATGTGCATTATGAAGACGCTCAGCATGACAAGTGTATTTACCATCTGTCACCGTACAGTGTTATTACAGTATTATTGACTACGTCTCTCCGAGCTGACTCGTTTATTTTATAACTGGAAATTTGTACCTCTTCATCCTTATCCTTCCCCTATTTAGCCCATCCCTGCCACCCCACTCCTCCCTCCTTTCCTTTTGAAAACAAAGGATTAACAGCTAAAAGAGAAGCAGCCATTTCAATTTGAAAGCTGTTACTCTGGGAGGCACTACCCTGTTCCACCATGAATTGGAATTTGCATTTACAGAACAAAACTAGCTCACCCCACAAGAGCCCACCTTTCCAGGGGCCTGGGCTGTAAACACAAATAAAACCCCCCAAGTTATGTGCCAACAGAATGACAGAGAATGGAAGTAGCCCCAGCTCTGTGTCCCTGTCACTGAGTCCTCTGCGAGTGTGTTAACGCTGCCGCTTGCATGCAAGGACACAACACCACCGTCCGTCGGGTGTCGGAGACGCGCACTGCGCCCAGACAGAGCCCCGAGGATCCGCAGCCACCCCGATTTTTCTCTCCAAACAAATGTGGGAGCCGGGTCTATTTGGTTGTGTAGCTGGGCATTTTCAGAATGAACTTCCGGAGAATTCAGTGTTTAAGAAGGGGTAAGTAAGGGACGCCTGGGTGGCCCAGCGGTTTGGCACCTGCCTTTGGCCCAGGTCATGACCCTGGAGACCTGGGATAGAGTCCCACGTCGGTCTCCATGCAGGGAGTCTGCTTCTCCCTCTGCCTGTGTCTCTGCCTCTGTGTGTCTCATGAATAAATAAAATCTTAAAAAAAAAAAGGAGTAAGTGATAAAAATGTGCTGATTTGAAGTTTATGTATATATATTATTAAATCTCAACAGAGGGATCCCTGGGTGGCGCAGCGGTTTAGCGCCTGCCTTTGGCCCAGGGCGCGATCCTGGAGACCCGGGATCGAATCCCACGTCGGGATCCCAGTGATTGGAGCCTGCTTCTCCCTCAGCCTGTGTCTCTGCCTCTCTCTCTCTCTGGGTGACTATCATAAAAAAATTTTTTTAAATCTCAACAGAGCACAGAATAATGTATAGAATTGTGGGATCACTATGTTGTACATCTGGGACTAATAGAACATTGTGTGTATCAATTATACCGCCCCCCCATCCCCAACAAAAACCCAGTGCTGTCTGCATCAAGTGTTTAGAACTTAGACCATGGGAGGTATTTTGGGGGGAAGAGGATTGTGGGGCTCGCATGGTAATGATAAAGAGCAGTCCAGCTTGTGGTTGGTTTTATTCTTTTTTTAAAAAAAGATTAATTAATTAATTAATTAATTAATTCATGCGGTGCCATGCAGGCAGTTTCTCCAGGCTTGTTCTGCACCTCTTGGCTGTTGCAAGTCTGGGGCTGGCTTTGCTGGACGTCTCTTTGGGTGTCCTTGCTGCCCCCATGTGTGGGCCCTGCATCCGTGTCCTCGGGCTGCCAGAAGAAAAGACCACACGTGGGGTGGTTTATTTTTTATTTTATTATTATTATTTTTTAATTTATTTTTTCATGAGAGACACAGAGAGAGAGAGGCAGAGACACAGGCAGAGGGAGAAGCAGGATCCACGCAGGGAGCCCGATGTGGGACTCGATCCTGGGTCTCCAGGATCTTGCCCTAGGCTGAAGGCGGCACTAAAGCCCCGAGCCACCCAGGCTGCCCTATTTTTTTTTTATTTTTTACATTTTTAAAAAATTTAAATTCAATTTGTCTACTTATAGTATCATACCCAGTGCTCATCCCATCAAGTGCCCTCCTCAACACCTGTCACCCAGTCACCCCATTTCCTCACCCACCTCCCCTTCTGTAACCCTTTGTTTCCCAGAGTTACGAGTCTCTCATGGTTTGTCTTCCTCTCTGATTTTTTGCTGCTCAATGTCCCCCCTTCCCTTATGGTGCCTTTCACTATTTCTTATATTCCGTGTATGAGTGAAACCATATGATAATTGTCCTTCTCTGACTGACTTCCTTCACTCAGCATAATACCTTCCGGGTCCATCAATGTTGATGTAAATGGTAGATATTCGTCCTTTCTGGTGGCGGAGTAATGTTCCATCATATATATAGGCCACATCTCCTCTATCCATCATCTGTCGAAGGACGTCGTGGCTTCTTCCACAGCTTGGCCATTGTGGACATTGCTGCTGTGAACATTGTGGTGCAGGTGTCCCAGAGTTTCACGGCATCTGTATCTTTGGGGCAGATCCCCAATAGTGCAATTCCTGGGTCATAGGGCAGGTCTATTTTTAACTCTTTGAGGACCCTCCACACAGTTTTCCAGAGTGGCTGCACCAGCTTGTGTTCCCACCAACAGTGCAAGAGGGTTCCACATGGGGTGGTTTAAAACAACAAGAGGAATTGATTCTCTATGGGTCTGGAGGCCAGAGTATGTCCACAGGGCTGGTCTCTTCCTGGGACTCTGAAGGGGAACCTGCTCCGGGGCTCCCCTCTGGCTCTTGGGTGGTGCTGGCAGCCTGGGGTATCTTGGCTTCGTGGCTGCCCCGCTGTTCTGCTCCCTGCATGTGTGTGCAAGCTTCTCTCTTAGACACTGGTTATTGGATTTAGACCTCTCTCTTTCTCTCTTTTTAATTTTTTAAAAATTTTTATTTATTTATGATAGTCACAGAGAGAGAAAGAGAGAGAGGCAGAGACATAGGCAGAGGGAGAAGCAGGCTCCATGCCGGGAGCCCGATGTGGGATTCGATCCCGGGTCTCCAGGATCGCACCCTGGGCCAAAGGCAGGCGCCAAACCGCTGCGCCACCTAGGGATCCCTCTCTCTCTCTTTTAATGAGGATATATTTATTCTAAAGCCCTAAATCGAATTTCAACAAAATTAACAAGAAAATGGTTTATCTAAAAATAGAGGAAATTTTATACATTCATAACAAATTAACAGGAAAAATAGAAACCACGTTTAAGTTAGATAGTAGATCAAAGGACAGCAAAATTTATTTATTTTATTTATTTTTATTTTTTTTGAAAGGACAGCAAAATTTAATTGGCAAATTCCTACCTGGCCATAATTTGGTTTTTCATCTACCATTTTGAAAGCATGTTCATTCCAAGTCTACTCCAAAAGCCCTACTTCTTTTCTTTTCTTTTTAAGATTTTATTTATTTATTCATGAGAGACACACAGAGAGAGAGGGGGGCAGACACAGGCAGAGGGAGAAGCAGGCACCATGCAAGAAGCCCGACGTAGGACCCGATCCCAGGTCCCCAGGATCAGGTCCTGGGCTGAAGGTGGTGCTAAACCACTGAGCCACCCTGGCTGCCCCAAAAACCCTACTTCATCTTGTAAGTACAGTTGACAAGTTTGGTAAATTCTTAAGTACTAATACGAATTTCATGCTCTGTGCTATAGTTACCTGAATTTACCCATTTTCACAGAATTCCTTCATTAGTTAATATTCTTAGGAATATTCTGAAAAATATTGAATGCTTTATTAATGTGACTATTTAGAATCTTGGATTGGTCTTGTCTGAACTATGACACCTGAAAAGACGGTATTTCCAGGTAAGGTCACATTCTGAGGTTCCAGGTAGAGGAGGATTTTGGGGGGATGCACTCTTCAACCCATGCAAGCCCCATCTCTCCCTGACTCCATCTGCTTGGTGACCCATCAGGGCAAAGGGCTCCAATGAGGCATCTTCCCAGAGGGGCTGTTCGAATCCAGTGGTGCAAGGACACCTGACATGAAAGCCAGAGGACGGGGCACCTGGGTGGCTTAAGTGAGCATCTGCCTTTGGCTCAGGACGTGATCCCGGGGTCCTGGGATCGAGTCCTGCATTGGGCTCCCCACAAGGAGCCTGCTTCTCCTTTTGCCTGTGTCTCTGCCTCTCTCTGTGTGTCTCTCATGAATAAATAGAGTTTAAAAATCTTAAAAAAAGAAAGAGAAAAAGAATGAAAGCCAGAGTACTGAGAGATGGCAGCTTGGTGGGGGTGGGGTCCGGGTCTGGGGTCCAGGGCTAGGGTGGGAAGCCAGCAGGGGAGTTGGACACACTTTTTCATGTGCCTCCTGCTTGTGATGAGAGAGAGAAACAGGCAGAGAGAGGACTTAGAGATGGCTAGGCAGGATCTGAAAACCGGAATGTTCTGTGAGAGGGGCAGTTCTCTGCTGGGATCAGGAGCTGGGTCATTGGGCAGTGCTGCCTGGCTCCTGCAGGGCTTCTCGGCCCGACACCCAGATCCTTGCAACCAGAACTGCCTGCAGCAGACCATCCCCAGGGGCTGCGGTGGGCAGGGAAGGCTGAGCTGGAGGCCCAGCTTCTGCAGGGGTGCAGGCACCCCCCCACCGACCCCCTCCCTGAGTACCCAGGGCAGCTGACCTTGAAAAGCCCTTCAGAGGGACAAGTACTCACCCCTGCAGGGCCCGGAGTGGGGGCTGGGGGTCCCAGGGTGATAATTCATGGAGTGTGAGTGGGGCTTGGGCAGGGGGGTTGTGGTTGAAATATAGTCCCCGGGTCCTGCCTCCGACAGCCTGCCTCTCTCCCATTACCCTGGTGCCTGCAGTGATAAATCCTGGCCACCGGAGTCTGGGTGCCCCGCTGCGGCCACCCTGGGGCCTACTCCAGCCCTCCCTCCCCTCGGAGTGGACTCTGGGCCTTCTCCCCTCCGTGCAGTCCCTCCTGTCCCTGCTTCTGCAGGACAGAGGAGCCAGGTGCCCTACGGCTCTGTTCTGGGCTACACTGTGCGCCCCCTGCACTCATGTGCAGAAACCCTAGCCCCCAGCACCTCAGGATGGGGCTGTATTTGGAGATGGGGTTTTTATTGTAATTTATTTATTTATTTGGATTTTATTTATTTATTTGAGACAGAAAGAGAGCACAAGCAGGGGGAGCAACAGAGGGAGAAGCAGGCTTACTCCCAGGACCCTGACATCAGGACCTGAGCCGAAGGCAGATGCTTAACCAAGTGAACCTCCCATGCGCCCCCGGAGAGGGGGTTTTTAGGGAGATAATTAAGTAGCAGGAGGTCACTAGGGTAGCCCCTCATCCAGGGTGCCTGGGGTCCTTACAAGAAGAGGAAATTTGGACATAGACTTGCCTGGAAGGAGGGAGCCATGGAAACATGCAGACGGCTGTGCCCACCGGCCACGCACCAAGGCCACACAAGAATCCAGGCTGCCAGCATCCTGCCCTGGACTCCCAGCCTCCAGGACCATGGGGGATAAGTCGCCACCATTTAAGCTGTGAGGTCAGCAGTGGCCGGAGCCCATGACCTCGGCCCTGGGACCTGGGCGCCAGCTCAGAATGCACCCCTGCAGCTCGCGCTCGTCCGAGTGGTCACTTGCCAGCTTTCTTTCCTTAACTGCACAGCCGAATTTTCCAGGTGAAACCTTACAGGGCTCCGCATTCCGTGTAACGGAAAAGCAGGGTCGGTCTGGTGGCCGGGTGCCGTGGGAGGGGCTCCCTGGCTCCTTTGTTTGGCATCCTCATTTTCACCTAACCTCTGGTGGCCCTGGGCACCACTTTGGGGCCCCCTGGGGGATGCTTCAAACCCCACCACCCAGAGGAGTGATACTCATTTTGCAGAAGACCTGTCAGTGTGGGACGGGCAGGAGCAACCCCTGCAGAGAAATGTGGGGAATGCATCACTTCCTCCCCGCTGGGTGCTGCTATGACTGGGTGTCATCGCTATAGAGAACCAGTCCCGTATGGGGCCGGGAGCTGCATTCTGGAACGGCACCCTGGGTTTACAGGCGGTGCCGGGGTCCAAGTCCCCTCCTCCCTACGTGCTGGCTGAGTGCCGTTTGAACAAGTCCCCTGAGCTTATGAGCCACATTCTCTCTGTCAGGTGGGAGAAGATGCTGAGAATGTGAGCCTGCAGGGAACCTGGCAAGTTTCGGAGCCAGACAGGTCTGTGCACGAACCCAACTCTGCTGCCTCTTAGCTGTGTGGCCTCGGGTGAGTCGAATGACCTCGCTGAGCTCATTTCGCATGTCGCAAAAGATTCTATTGATTTTTTTAAAATTAAGTTTTTAATTTTAATTCCAGTGTCGTTAACACACAGGGTCCTATTAATTTACAGGTGTGCAGTGTAGTGATTCAACAGCTCTATACATTACTCAGTGCTCTCATCATGGTAAGTCTACTCTTGGTTTTTAAAATACCAACAAAAATGGAAAAGTTGGGGCACCTGGGCGGCTTAGTGATTGAGTGTCTGCCTTCAACTCAGGGTGTGATCCTGGGGTCCTGGGATTGAGTCCCACATCGGGCTCCCTGCATGGAGCCTGCTTCTCCCTCTGCCTGTGTCTCTGCCTCTCTCTGTGTGTCTCTCATGAATAAATAAAATCTTAAAAAAAAAATGGAAAAGTCATACATACCTGGGCCTTGCCCCAAAACAGAGTGGGCTACATTTGGCTGGTGGGCCAGGGTTTGCTGACTTGCGGGTTAGACTGTGAATTCCTCCAAAGCATGTGCAATGTCCCTTAGGTTCTCAAGGCCTCACAGGAGGGCATACTCCTCGTAGCGTCTTTCCACCTCCTAGAGATAGGATTGTGGCTATTGGTGGGGAATACATACACAAACGGCAGGCCTGTGGCAGGTACTGAAGATGATTCTGGAAAGACGGAAGTCCCTTCCAGGGGAATCTGCACCTTAACCAAGGAGTCAGGGAGATCTTGATGTTTCTGCGATTCTGGCTGCACTGGCCAGGTGCAGCAAGCCTTTTCCAGCTGAGCCAGCAGGGGGCACTGGGGGACCGCTTTCCTCTGCGAGTCTGGGCAGCCAGGAAGCCTGGGCATCGGGGCCCTGCCGGGAGGGGGGACCCACCCTGGATGGCCCAGATGACCTCCGAGTGTCTTTCCTCCCCATTGAATCTCGGCTCTTTCTGCAGAGGAAGGCATGGGGATGAGCTGCCCGGAGCTAGCTGGCAGCAGCCGGGAGCTCAGCAGGAGCGGCCCCCCAGCCCTAGAAAAGAGGTAAAATGAGGACACGGCCCATGTTTGCAGGGGGGCGGTCATCCTGGGGTGTCAGCGTTTCAGAATTCCAGAGAAGAGACAGGGCTTTCTTTTACAGGCCCAGGAAGCACATGGCAAACAGCAGAGAGGAAGATGGGCAGGTGTCGGCCCTGAGCTCCCACCAGTGACACTTCTAGCCTTGAAAACCTCAAAGAAAGCCCCCCACGGCTGCCTGAACCATGTGGGTCAGTGCTCGAATGTGATCTGCTCCTTGGTTCCTCGTGTCCCTGTGTTGTGCCCAAGATTGCGAACCCGAGAAACCACCAAGGAGCCGACACCGATGCAAGCGCACGAGGGTTTATTAGGGTCCAAGTATACCTGACACAGCGGAGCAGGGACTTGGACCCCTAAGTGGGTTACAGCTGGGTTTTTTATAGGCTGGTCTAGGGGATTTTCAGAAGGGGTGGAGGTATTTCTCAAGTTCTGTTTACATTCTGATAGGGCATTGAGCTCTGTTCTCATTCTAATATGGGGCTTTCTACCACCGGTGTGGGCTCTGTTGTCTTTCTGATATGGGATTCCCTGCCGAGGACATTCTGCAGTTTTTCCTGTAAAGTTCAGCTCTTATTCACAGGGGCCTACGATGGCTGTACTTGTGCTAATGCTAAACTTTAGGTGGAATGGCCTTAATTTTTCTCGGCCTCCATACCTGTCTGTCTACGAGGGAGGAAAGATCACAGACAGGCCCGCCGCATAGGGCGGTGTCTCCAAAGCATGGATCCCCACCAGCAGCCCTTGAGCATCACTAGGAGCTGCTCAGAAGTGCACATCCCGGGCCCCACCCCAGGGACCCCTGCATCAGACACTGACCCCTGACAAGCCCTCCAGGTGAGTCTGATCTGTGGGTGACCTGCACCCTGGGATCCCTTGGCTTTCAAGCCTCGGTTGGGGGACCGCACCCCAGACCGATTGCATCAGGCCCTCTGGGGTTGGGACCTGCACCTGTGGTTGATTCCAATATAACCAAGGTCAAGCCCAGTGGTGTAGTGGAAAGTGGTCTTGGGGTCCGCCAGACTCAAGTTCAACTCCCAGCTTTCGCACTCGCTGGCTGTTTGACCCTGGGCAAGGCACACCCCTTTTCTGGCCCACAGGAGCTCATGTTCTGGAGAAGTGAGCTCATCTGTCCCGCCTTACAGAATTGTTTGAAAATTGGACAAAGCGTCCCGTGCATGGAAGCACCTAGAACAATATCTGGCGCCCCGAGAGTGTTCGGCACATGATGGTTCCCCTTTCTCTGCTCCTTCTGTTGTACTGCGGGATATTTCCAGAATGGGAACCACATCATAGTTACCCTTGCATCCCCAGGGAATAATGGACTCGTGTGCGTCCCACACTTCGGGGAGAGAGCTGGGGCAGCGGGCGTGTGACACACGGCACTTGTGGACTTCTTCCCCCACAGCCTGGCTGCGATGAGCTCCGTGACCTTTCTCTGTGTCATCTCAACTAAGGTCAACCCCGATGTCTGTTTAAATTACAAACGCTCAGTCTCCCTGACCTTTAGGAACCTATGCTGGTAAAAACAGAATGCTAGAATATGTATGCCCAGATACTTGTTGGTGCGTTGTCTGCCCCGGGGTAATAACTGGAAACATAACTTTAGGGATGCCTGGGTGGCTCAGTGGGTGAGCATCTGCCTTCGGCTCAGGGTGTGATCCCAAGGTCCTGGGATCAAGTCCCGCATCGGGCTCCTCCCCGCAGGGAGCCTGCTTCTCCCTCTGCCTGGGTCTCTGCCTCTCTCTCTCTGTGTCTCTCATGAATAAATAAATAAAATCTTAAAAAAAAAGAGACATAACTTTACCTATAAGTGAATAATAGAATAAATTATGGCACATTCAGCATCATGAACCATTACAAGGAACTGGGAAGACCTATAGGTAGTGATCTAAGAGATGTACTATATATGGTGAAGTGATAAAGCAAATTGCTGATTCATGCCTGTGACACGATTCCTTTTTTTTTCTATTGAGGAAGAAGAGCCTCATACTCTGCGTGCACGTGTGTGTGTGTGTGTGTGTGTGTGTGTGTGTGTGTGTCACGGGCTGGGTGTGGGCATAAAGCTTAAGCAAAGGAGGGAAGAATTTACCTTGTGGGATTGCAGACAAGGGACAAATCTATTTGTGCATTTGTTCATTCCTGTTTTTTTTTTCTCAATTAATATTATTTAAGGTCTGCTACGTGTCAGGCATTGGAGCTCTGGGGATAGGGTCGTGAACAAAACACGCTGAGCCGCTGCTTTCTTGCAGCTGGTGTGACCGAATGTCCAGTGTCCCAGGACGTTCCTTGGTCCTGAGCAAACTAGGATTGGGGTGGGGGTGGGGGTCTCCCATGGAGCTTGCGTTCCAGCCCAGAAAGGACAGGTGAACACCTGCTAGAGCCGGGCGGGTATTTTGGTGGGAAACTGGCTGTTTTGGGGGCTCTTCCGATTTGCTTACAGCGAGAGCATCCCTCCTTGAGGTTTCGATCGGCTGTCAGGGATGGAGGGGTGCTCTGAGCCATCTGAACGCCCCCAGGGTCATTGGCTCGCTGAGTTGGCGGCAGGACCTAATTTGTTAATTAAGAGTAGATGGTGAGCTGTGCTCGTATTTTGATTAACCTAATGGCCTTCCCAGCACGACTCCGGTTCAGCTGCAGAACTCGCTGCAACTTCTAATGAAATGATCTGGAGGGCTACGAGGAGGCACTTCCGGTTATTAGGAGGCTCATCTGCACAGATCACCGCCTGGCCACCAGCCGGGCTTTGGGTTTTCAGGCCCGACCCTTAATCTTGTGGTCGCGCCCGAGGGGTTGCTGGCCTTTTCGGCTTTCACCCAATTTGCTCTGCGTTGGAAGCGCAGCCAGGAGACTAGGTCTCCTGAGCTCAGAGGCTGCGGCAGCGCAGCTGGGGTCCTGCCCGGGGCCCTCCGGCCCCCCCACCCCACCCTGGAGACTCTGCGCGGGGGCTTCATCCCCGGCCTGGGCATGGCTGGAAGTGCTGGGGTGGGGGGTATTGTTGGGAGTCGAATTGTGTCCCCCGCCAAAGATGCCTAAGCCATAACCCCCAGGACATAGGAATGTTGCAGATGTCAAGTTCAGATGAGGTCATGGGCCCGAATCTGGTGTGACTCTGTCCTTATAAAAGGGGAAAATCTGGACACAGTGGCGGATCGCAGAGAGGAAGGACGCAGTGTGAACAGGCAAGGTCGCGGTGATGCCCCCTCCGGCCAGGGAATGCCCGCTACGCCAGCAACCCCCACCCCCCCGCCAGGACGGAGTCAAGGAGCCCCAGCCCTGCCCACACCCTGACCCAGGCTTCCAGCTTCCAGGGCTTCATTGCAGAGGCCACAGGAGACGAGGAGGGGGAGTCAGCACCCCCCCAACATCCTTCCAGCAGGCGAGTCAGCAGGTAAATACCCCAGAGGGTGCTGGGTCTCCCGGAGGCCCCGGGGGGGGGGGTGCAGCCCCCTGCCCACAGCACCACCTGTTGACAAGCACAGCCTGCGCTGACGGCCCTGCCTTCTTCCTCGTTCCCCTACCTCCCGGCGCTGGTGGGCTCATGGGCACGTGTGTGCGTGCATGCCTCTGCGTGCCCCTGGGTGCATGCGCGTGCGTGTGTACACCGTGAGTGGGAAGATGCCAGTTCGCGGCCTCTGATGTGCAGGGAAAGGAACTCTGTCTTCTGAGCACTCTACACTGGTGACACGTGAGGGCACAGAGCTGGCACTGGGCTGGGGGCGGCCAGGCCTCAGGACGGGGTGTGTCTGCACAGATGCCTCCACCGTCCGCACCCCTGTTCCCCATTCTCTCTGCCCTGCGGCACCAGCCAGGACTGACATTCCTGGATGTGATCACAGCTGAGAGGCCCTGGGACAAGAGGCAGGACATGATCCCTTGGACCCATGATGGGGCTCAGGGTCATCGGAACTTTGCAAACTATGTCATTACTGTTCAAATATATGGAAAACAATACCGTGGAAACATTTGGATTCAAGAATGGGAGTGGGAATTCACCTTGTCTGTTGGTGATAGTTCCTTTTTTTTTTTAAGATTTTATTTATTTATTCATTCATGATAAACACACACACACACACAGAGGCAGAGACATAGGCAGAGGGAGAAGCAGACTGCAGGGAGCCTAATGCGGGACTCAATCCCAGGACCCCGGGATCACTCCCTGAGCCCAAGCCAGGCGCTCAATTGCTGAGCCACCCAGACGTCCCAGATTGTGTATATTTAAATATACATGTCATTGTGCCGTCTTTGTGGTCTGGCCACTCTCTGTTACACTACACAGGTGTCTTGAACGTTTCCTGAAACAAGAACATCTATACCCACTGACTCTTTTCATCCAGTCCCCTGTTAATTAACAATCGCGTTGCTCCCATTTCTCCTGCAGCTTTTCCCTACAATGCTGCAACACACATATTTTAACAAACAGGCAGATCTTTTTGTATTTGTGCAAGGGTTTCTGTAGGACAGATTCCTGGAAGTTGAGTCCCTGAGTTCAAAGGTAAGGGCTTTTAAAACTTGGGGAGATATTATCCAGTTGCCCTCCAGGAGAGGTTGATCCAATTTATGCTCCCAGAGTAATTTAATTTGAATATTAAAAAGGACCGTGACCTTGTTTTGTGCGTTGAGCTGGTGGAGTGGGCTGATCAGTGACATGTAAATAGGTTATGGATCAAGCAGGGCTCAACCGGTTCCCACTCGGCAGGGCTTTGTTGTTTGCTTCCACTGCACGCACTTGAAAGAGAAAATAAACTGCACTTCTTTCATATGTTTTATAATTTAAAATTCCTCTGAGAGATGCAAGACTTTCCATCATGGCCATGAAAAATATGCCCTAGCTGCCCTTACTTTCCAAGGAGTGGAATTCAATGCGGAGCAGAGTCACTGTGGGCCCTTGTCACTTTGAGCTTGAAGCAGAGCTGCCCCAGCTGAGTGTGTAGACCATCACTTGGTACTGTGTATGTGTGTGTCTCTAGGGGTGTTTGTTATGCAGCAGTAGCTGACTGATACAGAACTTTCCCCCTGTGCTCTCACTGACCATCCATGTTTACCCCATGATCACTCTTCCTAAGAAACATTATAATGACTCATTTACTTCTCTAACATCTCTACGAGACTGTTTGTTCCAAGTAGGCAGAAATCGTGTGTATCTTGTTCACCTAAGACTCTACCTGGCACATGGCAGGAGCTTGTAAAGTGCAGTCATCCACCCTTATTTGTGGTTTTGGTGACCCATGGTTGACTGTGGTCTGGAATCAGACGCTCCTCCTCCTGACACACCATCAGAGACGGACAGTGTAGCCTAGCGCTTTGTCGCAACCCCTAAAAAATTCCCCTCACCTCATTGCCTTATGGAGACATTTTTAAAAAAGATTTTATTTATTTATTCATGAGACACACACACACACAGGCAGAGACACAGGCAGAGGGAGAAGCAGGCTCCATGCAGGGAGCCTGATGTGGGACTAGATCCCGGGACTCCAGGATCATGCCCCAGGCTGAAGGCAGGCACTAAACCTCTGAGCCACCCAGGGATCCCTGGAGGCATTTTTTAAAAAAAGATTTTATCTCTTGATTTGACAGAGAGAGAGAGAGAGTGCGCGAGAGAGCAGAAGCAGGGGGAACAGCAGAGGGAGAGGGAGAAGCAGGGTCCCCACTGAGCAGGGAGCCCAATGTGGGGCTCGATCCCAGGACCATGACCTAAGCTGAAGGCAGACGCTCACCTGGCTGAGCCACCCAGGTGTCCCTTATGTAGGCATTTTATCATCTCACATCATCTCAGGATGAAGGGTGAGTACAGGACAATCGGATATTTTGAGATAGACCACATTCACGTAGCTTTTAGTACAGAACATTTATAACCATATTATTTTACTATTAGATATTGTGGTTCATCTCTGACTGTGCCCAATTCATAAATTAAACTTTATTGTAGGGTATGTATATGTGGGATTTGGTGCTATCTGCACTTTCAGGCACCCACTGGGGGTCTTGGAATGTACCCCCCGAGAATAAGGGGGAACCCCTGTACCTACTGGATGGAGGGATGAATGAATGAGAATAAGGATAAATTCTATATGTTGGCAAATTGAACACCAATAAAAAATAAATTTATATATAAAAAAAAGAATAAGGATAAATGAGCTGAGGTTGCCCCAATTCCTTGGCTGTCCTTGGATCCTCCCAACGACAATTTCTTCTTTCTTTTTGAAAAATTACTCTGATTTTGGCCAGCGTCAGGTTTTATTATCCGCCAAAATCAAACGTGCACAAAACCCGAAGCTTACCCAATATGCACGTGCTCCACACTCCACCCTCGACTTTGCTTTATTTCCCTTTGACAACCGTCTTGTGAGGTGTCATTCCTCCCCCTTTCCTGGGAGGCCCCAAGGATCACACAGGCCATGACTCGGTGTTGTCTCCCCGGCTGGCACCTGCATCTGTCCCTCCTGCTCCAGGCTCTTCCCCCAGCTGCCTCCCTTCCCAGGGGTGGGGGCTGCCCCTCACCGAAACGACCGGAGGGGTCCTTCTCTGAGAACATATGCATCCTGTTTGAGTCTGATCTTCTCTCCAAGAATGTGTCTTTGTCCCCTGGGGTGCAGGAGAATAGAGTGCTACTTTTTTTATGGCCGGGAAAACATTAATGAAAAATGAACCATCAGTGAAATTAATTTCAAAGATTTATGCATTCTCCGTGACTAACAAGCCTGCACCTGTTCATTTGACACCCTTTAACAGCTCCCCGCTCTCCCCCCCTTCCCAGCTCCTTAAAATTCTCCTCTGTCCCTGAAGGCACCTGGTT